AAAAAATTGGTCCAACAAGACAATGAATCTTTTTTATTAGACCCATATGTTTCTTTCCTAAATCTCTTCTTCATTTCTAATTTTCTAAATTGTGCAGCTAGGGTTTTGCTTTCGCATCCTCCTCTTTTATTTCTTCCTCGATTTTGTTTCTTACCAGATTTTTGTACTTGTAATTAGGGGTATGTAAGGATTGCAAGCAATTTTAGAAGAATTATTAAAAGTGAGAATAATGGTAGAAAATCTTTAATCTACACATTCCACTAGTTTCTAATCTTATTATCTAACGCAACCTGTTCTTCTAAAACTATCCGTGGATCTATTAATACAGCTCTTCAGTTAGCTTCTCCGAATATTCTTGCCTATTAGCATTTTTTTTTTTTTTTTTTGATTTAGAAAAGGAGGATGAAGAACCGAGTGCAGAATTGGAGAAAAAGATGATATAATTTTGGGAAAAAAATTTGTAGGTCCCATAAAAAAGTTTTGTTGTTTAGTTGGACACACAATCTTTTACCTTTTTTTCATTTAAGAATGCCTAGTCAACATATTCAAGTCCATGCAAGCCACACTCAAAGGGTTTCTTCACACGTCAGCAAATCACGGTCCCCTTAACCATCTCCGTTAGCCATGTCAACAGTTCACATTCAATAATGCCTTGCTTAGTAAAATTAAGAAATTTGACACCTTAATTAGGAAAATTGAAAGTCCAGATCCTTGTATACTAAAAGCATTAAAGTTTAACTCCTCATTAACTAGTTTTGCCCCCTTAAGACTAACGATTTGTTTGGCACAGTAAAGCGACTTCGCTTATAAATAAATTTTCCTTTGACTTATCTTTTTAATTAATATAAATAAATTAAAAAGATAAGTCAAAGGAAAATTTATTTGACTTTTAATGTTCAAGTATAACTTATGGTTAATAGAAGAGTTAGATATATAGGAAAATAAATTTGTCAAAAAGTTAAAGTGAAGTCTTTCTCTTGCTGAATATATATTTTAAAATTAGTCAAAAAGTTATGTTATTAGATGTTTTAACTAATTATTTAAGTAAAAAATTATATAAGTTAATAAAATCAAATAAATTAGATACAATAACTTTAGAATTGTTTAGATTAATTATTTAAATATAGTTAATATTCTCTCATAGATAATTATTGTTGTTATTGTTTATAATTAAAAAAATTTATCCATTCAGTTAGAGCTAACAACTAATAATTGTATATAAAACGATAATATTATAATTATAATATTATATAAAATTAAAAATTTATAATTATAACATAATATTAAATAAATATAACATAATATTAATAAAAAAAAATATTTAATAAAATGATAAATTTTAAGTGAAAATGATCAATTATATAATGATACATTTTGTTATAAACTTATAATATGGTGTAATATTGTAAATACTTTATCAATAT